GATGATGGTAATGGTGATGATGGTGATGACAGTGATGGTGATAGTGATGATGGTGATGGTGATGATGGCGATGGTGATGATTGTGATGGTGATGGTGATGATGGGGATGGTGATGATGGTGATGGGATGATGGTAATGGTGATGATGATGATGGTGATGATGATGATGGGATGACGGTGATGATATGATGATAGAATATTTACTTTGTCCCAAGAGCTGTTCTAAAGGTTATATATGTATAGTTCACTTAATCCTCACAATAATCAAGGACAGTAGTTACCACTATTACCTCATTTTACCAAAGAGAAACTGAGGCCCAGAGAAGTTGAGAAACTTGCCTGAAATTATACCTCTATTAAGTGGTGTAGTCGAGATTTATGTCTGCACAATTGTATTCTTGACACAGGTTCTGTTTTTAGGAGTAGATATGCCACATTTCTGCCATGTATACTGGTTCTAGTTCTTGAGTCAGTTTTGATAATTTTTCTGGAAAATTACCCATTTCATTTAGATTTTCAAATGTGAAATATTTTACATAATATTCTCTTATAATTTTAAAAGTCTCCAAATTTGAAGCAATTTCTTCTTGTCCTTAATGTTATTTTTCTTTTTCTCTTTAGATCAGACTTCTGAAGTTTTGCATGTTTGTTGATCTTTTCAAAGAATGAGCTTTTGGTTTATTATTAAGGTCTATGCTTTCTGATAGTTTTCTATATTATTAGTTTCTGATTTAACTTTAAAAAATCCTTTCCTCCTCCTTTATTTAAGTTTACATTGATCTTTTTCTTGATTGTTATTTATCGAAAATCTTTTGTATTTTCTAATAAATGCATTTAAGGACATAAATATACCTATAATTACCGCTTTAGCCAAATCCCATAGCTTTTGATTTATAGCTACTCATTGTCATTCTTTTCTAAAAAGCCTATAATTTCAATTTCCATTTCCTTTTACTATAAGAGTAATTCAGAAGTCTAATTTATGAATTCCACAAGGAGATTATTTTTGGTCTGTCCTTGTTATTTCTAATTTCATTAGATTTGATCAGAGATTGTGGTTTTCTATTATTTCTACTTTGACAATTTATTTTTCTTCTGAGATGTGATAATATGCTCTACTTCTCTTATGTCTTATGGATTTCTGAAAGTGATAGGCATTTTCTTTTTGCTGGAAACAAAGCATGTTCTCTAAATGTATCTATTGTCAGGGCCTGATGAATTAGTCATATTCTCAATAGGCTGACTTATTGGCTGAATTTGGCTTGTCAATTTTAGAACATATTAACGTTTCCAACTAAGATTGTGGGTTTGTCAATATATCTGAACATTTTAATAGTTTTCCTTTATTTATTTCAAAGAGATGCTGGAGTGCATAACGATTTATGATCATTAAATTTTCTTGGTGACTGTACTGTAAATTGTGTCTTTTTTTCATGCTTAATGCCTTTCACTTGGATTCTATATTGTCAGAAATTTATATTATTGTGGCTTTCTCTTTTCTGTGAGCTGTTTCCCAAAATAGCTATTTTCCATCCTTTATTTCCATCCTTTCTCTGTCTTAATTTTAGCTAGGTCTCCTATATGTGCACAGAGGTGGCCTTTGAATTATAGCCTCAATCTTTGAGTTTCTTTCCATAAATAGGACATTTTTATCCATTTACAATTTTAAATTTGTTAATATTTGACCAGTTCCTTCCATTTTATTTTCTTTAAATGTTTGGTAAAATTCACACAGAAATCACTGGGGTTTGAAGTTTTCTTTGCGGGAAGATTTAAAAAATAACCCAAATTTAAAAACTTTAATAGATACCCATTTAAATTTTCTACTCCATTATGTGTCAGGTTTGGTAAGTTGTCTTTTCTATGAATTTTCCCATTTTATCTAAACTGCAAATATTCTTGGCCTTGAGTAATTTATAATATTTCATATTTACCCTGTTCATATCTGTAGGATCTGTCATGAATCTTCTTTTATTCCTTACATTATTAGTTTGGGTGCTTTGTGATTATCTGTCTCTTTTTCTTTCTTGATCAGTCTTGCCAGTGATTAAGGAATTTTTAAACTTTTTCAAAGAACCAACTCTCGGCTTTATTATTTTTCTGTGTTGGTTGTTTTCTATTTTATTTCTTCTTCCTTCTTTGGTGTTTATTCCCTTCTACTTACTTGATTTGCTCGTCTTTTGTCCTTTTTAGCTTCCTAAATTGGAAATGTAGACAACTGATTTTAACCCTTTCTTTTTTTCTAACACAAACATTTTAAATCTACAAATTCCTCTCTAAATTACTTCTTTAAGCTATGTCCCACACATTTTGATGTACTACATTTTGATATTCAAAACATTTTCTAATTTCTCTCGTGATTTCTTATTTGACTTGTAGGTTATTCAAAAGCAGATAGTCTAACATTGAAATACTTGGGGATATTTTTAGATATTCTATTATTTTTGATTTCTAATTTGATGTTGGTCTGCTTAGATATTCAACTGTAATATTTTTATCTTTCCAAATTTATTTCAATCTTTTCAAATTTGTTGGGATGCTCTTATTGCCTAGTCTACGTTATATCATGGTCAATGTTCCAGGTGCAGTTTAAAATAACATGTATCTTACATATGGATTTACTGTTCTATGAATGTCAGTTAGTTCTAGAAAGTTGATAATCTTATTCAGATTTTTCAATATCCTTATTTATATAGTAAGGGATGTTTAAAAAGGGATATTAAAAATCTAACTATGAGTATAGATTTGTCTAATTCTCTCTTTGGTTTTGTCAGAGTTTTTTCCTTCCCTGTATTTTATAGCTCTGTTGTTGGTACATGCACATTTTATGATTTTATGCTTCCT